CCACTGAAACAATCTGTCCTTGGAAATTCGTCTGATGTGTTGCTGCAGCTTAATTTTGAAAAGTGTCAAGTGATTCATCATTTACAAAGACCTTAAGAAATCTTCAGCTCTTATGCCTATGCAGCGTATCTTGCAAGATTAATTATGCTGAAGTTGAACATTTAAACTCTACGAAATATCTTGGGTTTGTTCTATCTCAAGATGTCTTGGTCTGAACGACGAAGATGCGGAAGGCCGTGTACTGCCTTATTCGCCTAAGGCCAGTGAAGGCTCCAAAATCCATTCTGCGTCGTTATATAAAATCGTGCATTTATTCATGTTTTACCTACGCCTTTTCTCTCTTTCTTTCTGAACTTCTCAAAGCTGATCTCCGCGTTCTGTACGAGGTCCTAAAGTTTCTACCACGTACTGGTTGCTTTGATTTTGAAGTTCGTGCCAAAGAATTTGTACAGCGTATATGGAAAGCATGTCTTAAGCACCAGTATTCTCATTAAGAACAATCCCCGACTCTGCTATGTTGCATATCCTTGTATCCCGGTACAGTATCAAAAATGATGGACATCTACTGTCGGACGAAACAGACGAATTTCAATCATCCCTGCCTTGTCTTACATCATGAGGAACCCTTCGTCGCTTGATGAGAGATGGTGGAAACAGATACTTAATTTTCTTGCCGCTTAAAATTTTCTTGTTTCGTTTTTTATTGTTTTTCTTATGTACTAAAAGATATTGTCATATTCTATATATTCAAGAAATAAACTGCATTCATCAATAAATCGTAAAGTGCGTCAAGGCGCAGTGCAGCCGTCAAGTGCGTGCATCAAATAGGGCGGTCATAAGTCTCATACAGTGTTGTCCCCATTGTTCGCGGGCACCTAGTTGTTACAGTTTGCTCAGCTAGTTCCACCTAAACTTCGTGAGGCAAATTCCTTGCTCAACGAAATAAGCAATTAAAAGAAGTTTACTCAGCGCTTAGATTCGAACCAGCATATCTGGCATGTACTGTCGAACTGTATTTCTTGCTCCATTGCCACCCCTTCCGCTTATAACTTGTTCTAAATGATGCTTTTAACTTCATGAAACTTTGTTGCTGCTTTTAAGACAATGTTAATTTTTCCTTCTAATCAGTTACGTAGCGTTGTAATCCTTTTGTTACTTTTAGCTACTGGCCGATTATGTTCATTCGCGTAGGTCCAATGTTCGACGTCTTTTGGAAATGCTGACTGCTTCGCACCGGACTTTGCAGAGTACGATTGGTCAGTTGCTTAGAGAACGTTTATTGCAACTTGGAAACGCGAAAGACGATCTGTAAGAAATTTTAGTGTATAGTACCTAATTACATTATTTTATTAAACTTTTAGAAAAGAGTATGAAAATCTCCTGAAGTATTGAACAACAACCTCTGCTTCCTGATGCGGTTTCTATCTCAGATGGTTTTAACTTAGCATAATAGTGAATATTTACGCTATTACGCTTTACAGTTTGAGATGTTTTAGCTTGATTCCGTTTTAAATGTTGTGAGTGCATTGGTCAACCTTAATTGTAGATGCGGACGAGTCTTAGCCTAGCAGTCACTAGGGTCGGAACATGAGAAAGGCGTGAAGTACTGAATTAACTGGTTGTCTCGCCTTGGATGTTAACGTTAGCTTTTCTTGTGTTTATATTGTGATTTGTAGTGCAATAGTGGTCTTGTAGAGAATAAGCATATTATCCTCTCCGAATCCGTTGATGTCATTTAGAGCAGGTGTGTAATAAGGCTTTCCAAGCAATTCAGTTTTGTATTAATAGCACTTCAGCCTGTACCTTTCCACGGACTCAAATGTTTTAAACGTATTTGCTCTGCCTTACCGTCCTGTGTTCTCATCTTTCCTTACAGATGCATTATCAACGAAGGTTTACAAGTTGTCTTCAGGAAAGACACAAAATGGCATTATGCCGTGATAACTGCATAGCACTATGGGAAGCACACAACTGTACCGTTCGACTATTGTCCCCTTTTATTATCGGTACTGGGATCTGTAGTAGACTAGCGTTCATATCAATAACTCAGGGAAATTTAAAAACACGTGTAAAATTGCAAGATTTTTAAGCCAGTGTATATGTAAAGTGAGGATAGAAAAGAACTCTTGAAGAGAAATGAGGATCGACTGTCACCCAGATTAAGTCGTTTAAAGCGATGAATGGTGGATTGTCTAATTGATTGGTTCATTATTAGCGACTGCCGCTTAAGTTTGTTATGTTTCTGATGACTTCGTTTCTGACGGTAATATAACAAGGGGAAATCGAGTTGCTGATCAAGTTATGACAAGCTTCTCTGTGATATTATTAGACCTAGTTGATTATTTTAATCAAAAATTTGCATTTTAGGCGACTAACTTTTGGCTCTAAGGCTAGCTTCCTTGTTAGGGCTAAGTTTTCTTACGTCACTGGTTATTTCTGTCTATCGTTTTTTTTTCAGAAAATTTCACTTAAATGTAGATTGTATCCATTCTGTTTATATATTAAAACGAACTGTTTTGGTTTTTATGTCCTCGATCTCACAGTGACGTTGACCCGTTTCGAGGATATCGGTGTAAGCTGGCTTAACCTTTGTCTTATGATTATGTACTTACCTCGTCAGTTAGAGGTGGAGACATATTGAAAAAGGGACGGTAGACATATCGTTGAGAGCACAGGCGGTGATTGCAATGCTGTTGCAAGGAAATGAAAACATTGTGGGTCGAGTGCAATGTAGTAAGAGACGTTTGTGTTGTGTTCTTGCTTAAAGATCGTTGGCCGCAGACGTTGAAGAATTTATTTGATTCTCTTTCCTAAAGAACAAGTTCTACGAAAAAGGGCGACATTAGAATGTGAACTTATCAGCGTGGCGTGAGAGGATAGCAAACAGAACTGCCGAAACAAACTATGAAGTTGAAGCTTGCTATATAGAAATTCAGAACAGGGATTGGAAAATGTATGGGCAAATTGCAAAGGGGCACACTTTTTAAACAGTTTTTGTAAATCAGAATGTGGTTCTCTGTGTAATTAGTTCAGAAAGCGGTCGATGGAAATACATTTGACAAAATTTTCGTGATTCTTCAGACAGTTAAATATTTTGACAAAAACCATCAGACGTAGGATTCAGGCAGAAGTGGCACGAGATATGCAGCAAGTGATGACCAGCGCAAGTCATTCATATTCCGTGATAGTTTGTGAGACAGATATGGTAGACTTCGGTAGCAGTTTATCCTACTGTTAAACAATTATGCTTCTTATAACCATATCAGAATTACAAAGTATCATGCTTTAAATAGACTAGGTTCTGCTGTATTTTCGTGCGGTGGAAATAAAATGACTGCGATAACGATTGATGCAGTAAACGTGGAACGAACAGTGACAATGCGGCTCAATCATTAGATGGAATTTGAAGTATTGCTACCGCAGCAGTTTTGAATTCGGCGGTTTAGCGACAGGATTCCGGTGTCAGTAGCGAAACTTACCCTGTTAATTAGAGCCATCGTTTTACATTCGGATTCCATGACCATGCACTAAGGAATGCTCAAGAGTTTCTTTTTATGTTTCCATAATGCTTAGGTCATGTATGAAAACCGGGCGATTGATTGCTCATCACTTCAGTTAAATCAGAATATATGGATTTTATTCCCACAGTTGACTCTGTATTTATAGGCATGCTACATTGGCGATTGAAAATGCAGCACGGTTGTATTTCATATTCTGATGCAAGCGATTAAGGGGTTTGCAAGTGCCCATTGAAATTTTTGTCTCGCTCTTCCATCAGTTTTTACTCGCTTTGCTGTCTTCATCCTTCTAATCTATTATTTGGTTCTTCAACCCTGAAATTAATATTTAAACTAGTGTTGAAATGGTACTGTTCTCAGAGTTCTCTCATGTTTAGCTTAAGAGGCAGCGATCCCTAAAATGCTCGTATTTTGGCACTGTCCATACATGCAAACATGTTTTGAGAGATGCTGCGACGATGCTTGACAAACATGATGCTTCCTCTGCAGGTTGGAACATTCAGTGTCTTTGTATCGGCGGAAGCACTGTAGATCCATCGTATTAATCTCAGGTACGTTCATATGGAAATACATTACTTTGTTTATAGAGCAAGATTTCTTATTTTAGAGGTACCTTCGCCTAAGTGTTTTTGTCCTTTATCCTTATCTTTCTACCTTGTACTTCCTTTTCGTCGTAGCTGGTTGTTATGCTGGGGAGTGTTTAAATTACTCTTGATTCGTATTTTCTGTCGGAATTATATTATTTAATGGATTTATGGCATACGTAGTGACGATGAACATGGTAAGGTAGTATGGACGCAATGGTGTCGAAATCGAAAAAAGGCAATAGGTTCTATGAAGCTTTTCGACAAAACTAATGAGTAGTGAGTAATAATTTTATAATAAAGCCCTGTCCATTAAGCGGTCCTCAACGTCCAAATTATCTTTCCAGTTATGAAGACTGGAGAAAGTCCTATGGAACGGAATGTTTGACTCTTGAAAATGTGATTTAAGCGTTAATCTGACTGCAAAATGACACCTGCAAGACGTGAAGGAATACAACTACAGATAATTAAGAAGTGTGGAACAGATGGAGTGCTGATGGTAGTGAATCCCTTTGGATTGGTAACGCATAATCATCAAATTCGAATTGACCGAACGAAAGCTATTGCAGTTCCAATATTTATGAAAGACCGCTGCACCAAACCAAATGACTAATGTGAAATAAGTAATATTTAATGTGCATGATAGTGAAATCCACTGCGCTTGATGATTTAGTGCTTTTCCATTTAAATGTCGATCGTCTTGAGTCTGTGCAGTTAGAATGAGGTTCGTTACACTTTGGTTTCATCTTCCGATGTGTACACAATGGATCTGTCGCGTCATCAGAACTTTGGCAATGGATCGACCTCACTGCTCATCATTCTTGTCAGAGCGGGCCGTCATTTCGTCTGGGACGAAAAATCGTGTTTGTTATCAAACTCAGGCATTTCTTTGGAGACTGGCTTTGCGATATTCGGTGTTCTGTCAAATGATATTTTAGCAGCCGAACAGGGAAATTTTACTTGATTCTGCTGGAATATTAGTGATCCTATTAAGTGAAATATTTTGAAGCGAACATCACCTGTTTGCTGGCTTCCCTTGTCGTACGAAATTCAACTGATCACCAAACTACATCATCGTTGAAAGTTGTTCAGAATACAAAATATTGTAAACTAACCGCGGTCAAAAAAATTTACGCTGTTTGCTGCCATATTTGCATTGCCGTTGCTTTCTCGAAACTTTTCCCCGTTGACTCTGATGCGTGATTGACAGATGCTCTATCGAAATTGACGAATGACGCTGTTTGAGTGTGTGCACATCCCTGAGATCGTATCTTGTACAGGTGGTTGCTCTCTGCAGCCTGTCTAACAGAAGGCATGCAGATTTCATGGGGGACAGCGATCTAATTGGAATGTACTTCACTGTTAATTGTTGTTCCGTCAACAACAATGTTGTAGCAAAGATTGAGTGAGCGATAAATAGAGAAGAAATATTTTCGCACGTCGTTATATGGCGGTCGGAATCAACCCAGTTCGTTATGTGCAATTGTGTTACACTTTCTCATTACACGGAAATTTACTGTTATATCTGAACCGAACCGGTTTAATTCAACCTTTTCTGAGCTAGTAAAGTCGTGCCACCAGTACAACTCTCCAAAACAGCGGTTGGTCGTGCTCCGAGGTCGCGCTGTTGTTGACAATCTAACGTCGGTTACGTGATAACGTACCATGTCCATGTTGATTAATTTTTTCAGTTTAATTATTGAATAAATAATTAATTTAGGATCAGTAACTTGCTTTATCTGCCGTTGCACCCGAGCAACTGAAATCTGAATCCGTTGAACGTTAATTTGAATGAAAAAGATAGAATCAGCAGATACTTTTACCAGATCGAAAAAAAGGTTAAATTTCCCTTGGATTCAGCTGTTTTGGCACGATCGACTGTTGAACCTGCAGTTCATGTTTCATTAG